TTTGATTGCTATAACCATTTCTTCTGTTCGACTCATCCATGTAAACATCCCTGTAATGTGCTGTCACTTCAAGGCAAAGGGAACGAAGTCTGTTGCGTGGATTCTTTGGAAATAAGTTTTCCAGTTTATTTAAGCTTGTGAGGCTCCAGGAGTCTGAATGAGATAAATTGAGTTTGCATCTATTCTGTGCTGAGCTGCGGTGAAAGGATGTTAAGAAAGGGAATTTTATAATACAAAGACTGCACCCTTGGAAGCTATAAATTTGATTTGTCAATGTCAGCTGCATATTATTGTTCATGTTTTTACACAGGACGGGGAAGATGGATTTTTTCCCACATCATTCACAATAACATTACTTGAGGAAAATATCTTTTTAGTGGAAACAACAGGGCATGACATTACAGTTGAGAAACCCTTCACGATTCATGGGCACCTGACCATTGTGTTAATAATTATAACAATATGGTGGAAGTAGTGTTTCCACAGAAGTAAGTATACGTACAATAGCACAAAATGAAAATACACAGGTAAAGTACAACTGAATCCAACTTTACAACTTGTAGTAAATGTGCTGAATCACAGTCACCAGTGTCCTTGTTGATATGGTATGTTAAGTGTTCTTCAAAATCTTCATATGTTTGTTCATGTCTGTATAAGTTGGCAGATGTATTGATCGTTGTAGTACTGAGATACATGTACAACATCTGTAGCTGTACAAAAATTCTAATTATTTAAATCAGTGGGGAAGGGTTACAAGTGCCATACATAATAGGTTAATATTCTAATAAGCCTTTTTTTTTTTACAGTCAAGATTCATTATTTATTATTATTATTTGGAGATGTAAAATATAATTCACAAAAGAAAATGACATTAGGAATATTAATATACCAAACTGCAGAAAAAATACCCACATATCACACACTCATTAACTATTAACTAACTATCTAAGCTGCCCTGTTAAAAAATGTGTTCTCAACTTTGTGTGAATGGGAGTGATAATTGTAAGTCAGAGATAATGTAAAAGTGTAAAACATACAGTTTTTCAATCAAGCAACACTGTAGGATTCACATCATGAATGTTGGTGTATCCGGAGTAAGATAGTGACAGTCACAACATCACAAATGATGAGTAACACACCACCAAGACGGGTGACTTACTAATTTTACAGTTTAACAACTGCTGTTTAATGACGTCAAAAGGTTTGAGATTATAAAACAGAATACGGAAATTTTGTCCTTCATTTATAAAACTGCATGCTCTACTCGTACGTTGTTTTTTTCTAACTGAAATGTTAAAATGAACTTGTTCTGTCACTTTCTTTAACCGTGTTTGCAGGCTGTTCATTTCGACAACCTCAGGCTCTGTTCAAGTTGTTCAGAGACGGGAGCAGTGGGCGGGGATCTCTGATGGGATCCACAGATAAAGGTGTTGTAAGAGAGGAGGTTATTTTCTTCCTCCCGGACACAAAGGAGGTGGTGTACGGGTGAAGTTCATCGGGGACAAAGTGTGTAATTTAGGATCAAACAAGCACGTCAATAACAGCTCTTCAGTTTAATTCAGACAGACAGTGTTTGTCCAGATGCAGAGTGGGCTTGTTAGTCATTGTGAGTTACATTGGGTGAACTGATGATGTCTGATACCTTTGTTCTTCTGGCCGTGTGCAAACAGCTCTGCACCAGATCTGCAATATAATCCACCTTTACCTAGCAACTGCTGTTTGCTTTGACCAAAGCACACACTCAGGAACACACACAGACACACACACACACAGCTGAGGAGCTGCAGGAATATCAGCCAGATGGACACTAAGTCTCAGGATATATTTTCATTACAAAGCACTGAATCTTTGACTTTATGTTTTGCTTGATTGTCAACATCTTCTGTTCTGAGTGCTGTGAGGTGTGTCTCACTGTGGTGGCCTGAGATCACACATCCACTGAGAACACACACACACACACACACACACACACACACACACACACACACACACACACACAAATCACAACCCTAACCCTACCCCTTCCAAAGGTCGTAGAAGC